TATACATTCATGACACGTTTTAGACCCAGCTGTAGGGCGGGAATATGACACACCCGTTCCATAATTTACGAAGCATATGATATAACAGGAGAAACAGTGGATCACCGAGGAAGCTACTGATGACACCAAGTGTACACGAGAAGAACCAAGGGTCTGAACTTCAACAGTTCCAACTAGTTCCGGACTTCAAATATTCTTTTGTCTGTGGGCTTACTACAATGTATCATGTATGTCAAGGATAACTTACAAGGGATTCTAGTGTATTCGAAAAGCTAACCAAACCAATCTCTTGGGGCTTGTACTTCCATAAACCTACACAAATTCGCAGCGTCCGGACTTGGCAGTGTTACATATTCGTGTATATGACGTACGAAAATATATACTCGAATCTGTATATATTATAACACTGTCACCGAATCTGACTTCCTGATCCATTCTGAGACCTCGTAGGACCTGTATAGATGGGATCGTGTATGGAGTATCGGTGCTAACATTAACAGTTGGAATGACTGGGTATGATGTGAGGCTGCTTTCGGCAATGTCCAAGCAACATCACGTCCGGATACACCAGCCATGGACATCACATGATTGAACCAGGGTCATGGTTGTTCTGAGTGAACAATTTAACAGAATGTCTGTACCGTCCAGCTTCTTATTTAAGATTTCAAGACCTTTTTTAAAATTAAAAAAAAAGACATAGACTACGACGAAAGAAATCCGAACAAATACAATATATAGGACTGCATATTGTCAAATGACGCTGGACATTTGACATGCAGTGATCAATATTGCATGTATTAATGTCCCCATCTCGTTCATCGAAATGGGACAACATTTCAGTCATAGCGGTTACAAAATTGGAGTTGCAGTAGGGTGTTGTTGAACAAAGAAAATATATAAATACCCTTTTCATCAGTTTGGTAGCTGGTTTGATTTCGTTGATGTACTGGATGGTGAACGCTACACTCTGCAATATACCAGCAATGTGATTGTGGCTTGTAACTAATTGCAATCGAGTCTCGACCAGACATTCAGACACGCAATCAACCAAGTCATCCAGCCTGAAACCTGAATACGTCACCTCGAAGGATAGGTTTCTGTGGACGTGTTCTTATCCGTAATCCCAAGAGAGATGAGAATGTTAAACTCACGATTCGACTGTGCACAGGAATAGTACGGATTATACACAGCCGGTAGCCTCTTCAAATCGGTGTATCAAGGGGTTTTACCCTCTACAACGTATGAACCGTTCTTCACTCTTATCGTTGGTGCCATATGTTGTATCCTCAGCGCAACTGATATTGTTCTTCTCGCACCTCTTTTCATGGTAAGTAGTTAGGTCCCTTACATGTACCAGGAACATGTGATCATGGTTCTAATCTCGGTTCGGGGCGGTGGGGTAGCCTAGTGGTTAAAGCGTTGGCTCGTCACGCCGAAGACCCGGGTTCGAATCCCCACATGGGTACAATGTGTGAAGCCCATTTCTGGTGTCCCCCGCCGTGATGTTGCTGTAATATTGCTTAAAGCGGCGTAAAACCAAACTCAGTCAGTCAGTCTAATCTCGGTTCACCCCGTGTTTAATTAGCTTCCTCTTTTACATCATAACACGCATCACTTCCTGTTATCCTTCAACATGAAGCTGAGCAAGCGGCGTTATTATTGAAATATCGTTCATAGCTGCGTTTATCTGAAATCACTCACTATGCCCCGAGCCTTCGAAATCGCGTCACACTTGTGACGATGGAATGCTGTGTCACCATGTCAGCTTTGTTGCCTTCATCCGTTCATAATCACCCCATCTGAAGGATTAGGACGTTGTGTCAAATAAAGGATCTGCTGGATCTGATTGTTCGGACATCACTTGAGTCATCGATCCATCTCTTCATCAGTCTTAGTGTTTTGTTGCAATGTACATGATTGGCACTGATAACTGATGTATAAGGGCATTAGCAGCTGACTGTCAAATAGATCCTATAACAACATTACCGTTAAGATGACCATTTTGTCAGAGGAAAGCACTCAAAATAAATGGTAAATAGCACCATCTCTTTATATCATTAGTTGAAATGAAGGCAGTTTCCTATCACATCCTAAAAATTGAGAAAAGAAATGACAACTATAGTTCTGTTTTGGGTTCCAAATGAAACAAAATGACTTTACAATCCATTCCTTTCAAACACAATCTATTCAATTTGTCCAGTTGATTGGAAATTACCTGGATTAGATCCAGTTGATCACCTGATAGTCACAATCATTTGAAATTATGTTTTCCTTAACATGCTTTCACCAAAATCGCTGGTCGACAGGGAATTGACACTTGAGTACCAGTCACTGCCGTTCCACGCAGAAACAAACACATGGTGATACAAGAATCAATATAAAACACGAAAGACTTAGAGGCATAATAAAATGATGGCTGCAAATTGGTGTTTGCCGCTATGATTTGTGTCACGAAAGTTATCCTTTATGACAAATCTTCGGATCATCATGATTAATAGCCATTAGGAATTGGTATTTGTCTAAGTAGATAAGTAAACAGTCGCGCTGTTTATGGTGAATACAGGACGCACATATGTAAGAAAGAGACATCTGTGAATTAAAAGTATTCACCAAAATAATGCATACCTACTTAGTTTCTGGAAATAGACCAAATTGTATGTTCTCTTTATTCACTTATGTAATTTTCACAGATTTATACCTTTCAAGAAGATGCATAAGTAAATGTAATAATCATACATAATATTCGCTGTGTTAATTTACCCTTTTTATGAACACCTGGTGTCATAAATTATTTCCCGTTACCCATTCATATATTTTCTCATCTATTCTGCTTTTAACGCCCAGCGGAATCTGTAATCTGGGTAATTGAGACTGATTATTCTCTGGCGCTGACGTTTAATATTAAGTGAATCGACATCAGTTAGGTAATTATTCCTTACATGCGACAGTATCTCTGTATTCATTCCCACCAATACATCTTTAATTTCGATTGACCTTTCGCGCATTGCACATTATGGTTCTATTCTACAATTCGATACACATACGGTGGTCATTTGGTGCATGCAACTATTCATTCATGTCATCAAGAACGGAATATCGGGAATTCATGATCGGGAAACGTCTTGATGCTAAGTGGCGTATTTTCTGCCTGACTCAACTGTTGATAAATGGTTGACAGATATACTTTGGGAGTATTTATTTGTCTGGTGCGTATTCGCAGCAATAGGTATATATGGAGCATAACACCTCTCATTTCAATTGCGATAGAGCACGTTTAACATGACCATATCAAGTTTGCAGAATTATCAAGAGCTAAACGGTATTACTACGATTACGTGACCGGAGACAAACTATTAATTAATAACACATAGAAACAAGATGCGCCAGAAGTTCAAAAAGGATAATGGAAGTGACAAAAAATGAAACAATATGCTTGTATCTGGTCCCCCATTGAATGTCATAGCTATCATCATGTATCTTTCCTTGACATTTACATCAATGTTCTGTGAAGGAGTTAATGTATTTGAACTCCATGCATTAAAGCACATGTGGCGGCTAGATAAGGTTTGTACAAGGTCTCAGGTCAAATTTGATTGACAGACCGTATTTAATAGGAACTCTCTGACATTGCTATTTAATTGTCACTCATTTTGATGAATACGTGCTTGAAACTGACATCTATGCATACGACGTGCGTCCTTTATGTGTCTGACCCAACGTCAAACCTGAGCGCAACTATCAGAGGTTTCTGCCATTCATATAGGTCCATATGAAACCCTGTAAAGGCATGAAGAATCTTTGATGAGCCAGTAGCTATGACAGCTTATTGCTTCGCTTCCAATTAGGCCTGTCATCACTTTGGCCGTCATGATGTTCACAGAAACCACTCATCATGGGAATAGTTGTTATGCGAGCCGTATTCCACGAGAAAATATGAGAAGCCTGAACTGTACGCGAATGAGTGAGTTGAGGCAATCTACAGCACTTTGGATTGTTTTCTAATCGCACTTGGATGTTTGGGTCAGGTGACCTATCAAGTCAACGATCAGAGCCATTCGGGGAATGATAATACGAAATAAGATAGGTCACAGAGCCAGTCCATTCGATACCCGTTTTGTGCACATCTATCAACGAAACGCGGGTACATGTTCAACCCATCTTATCCCGATCATTCAAACTCTTGACTGATTGAATGTATACTGAATATGTATTTCTGAAGATCCGTGATCTTGGATAGATCCAAGCGTACATTTCTTACAATTGAAAGGGTTAATGGATATAGATGTGGGACGAGTATCATAATATATCGTGCCCGCATAAGGTTGCTTAAGCACAATTGTGTTCAGGCGAAAAACATTTGCCCCTTTGGTGATATTAATACTACATACAGCAAAAGCATAAACGGGATGATTTGTACAAGTGCTATTGTAAGGAACCTGAAAAGCCTAAGACCATGGATCATCCTTCAATCTTCTGCTGCGAACAATATAAGCAATAGCTTTTTTGTTTCGTACGTGAAAGATTTACACAAAAGGATCTAACTTCTTTGAGAAATTGGATCAGTAAGAACGATTTACTATATATAGAGGGCATTTCGAAATTTGATGCTTCAGTGACAAAAATTAGGTCCGATGCAAGTCCCTATTTTGCCTTGTATGATACGTTCCCGAATTATTTCAGGTGAACAATTAACTAGATTTTGCATATGTTTATGACGCCTGCTAATTACCCGCTACGCAATGTCTTTTTAAAGCCATCAGTCGGTAGTGTAGAGTCTTAAGGAGAAACCTATCACTTCTGGTTAGTGGCTGAAAAATACGATTTTAACCAGGCGTTCAGAAAATCTGTTCTGTAACATGATTCTCTTTAAGATACATGTTTCTGCATTATTTCTTAACGATGACATTAATCAACTACACCAACTGTAACCAATCTATGAGGACTTATCAAGCAGATATATTCTATTTGCGTTTCGTTCTAACATTTATTGTTTGTTTCAGGTACACCAAGGAACGATGCTGTTAAGAATGACACCTTTCTGCCTAGGATTAATTACATATATTCTCTTGGCGTCATCAACCCAGGCCGAAGATGTAGTTGTTCCACAAACACCAGATGAGGCCAGTGAAAGTGAGGGGAAAGACAATGTAGACAATGATGGGTATTTCGAGGATGTGAGCAAATCAGTATATGACACAAACAATAATGACGATAAACGTCAAACAGTGGACAAACTAGGTTTTTCTGGAACTCTGGGAAAACGACGGTTTGACCCAATCCTCTTTGGTGGCCGGTTAGGTAAGAGAGGCATGGATCGTCTAGGATTTGCCGGAACTCTTGGAAAACGAGGAATGGATAATTTTGGCTATGCGGGACAACTTGGAAAGCGAGGAATGGATAATTTAGGATTTGCTGGACAGCTTGGAAAGCGAGGAATGGATAATTTAGGATTTGCTGGACAACTTGGAAAGCGACGAATGGATAATTTAGGATTTGCAGGACAACTTGGTAAGCGTGGAATGGACAATTTAGGATTTGCAGGACAGCTTGGTAAGCGTGGAATGGATCATTTGGGCTTTGCTGGAACTCTTGGTAAACGTGGAATGGATAGTCTTGGTTTCGCTGGAACACTTGGTAAACGAGGAATGGACAATTTGGGATTCGCTGGACAGCTGGGTAAACGAGCCATGGACAAGTTCGGATTTGCAAGTCAGCTTGGGAAAAGAGCTATGGACAAGTTCGGATATGCAAGTCAACTCGGTAAACGAGGTATGGACAATTTTGGATTTGCCAGTCAGCTTGGCAAGAGGGCTATGGACAAGTTTGGGTTTGCGAGTCAACTCGGGAAGCGGGCAATGGACAGAATGGGATTCGCAGGTCAGTTAGGGAAAAAGGCCGTTGACAGGTTTGCCTTTGCAAGTCAGCTTGGCAAACGCGGAGTAGATCATTATGGGTTCATGGGACAGCTTGGCAAGAGAGGAATGGACAGTTTCGGTTATGCCGGACAACTTGGAAAGCGTCAAGTTGTTGACAGTCTTGGTTTTGCTGGGCAGCTTGGGAAAAGGGGCATGGATGGATATGGCTTTGCTGGAACCCTTGGAAAGAGGGGCGTTGATTCCCTTGGATTTGCCGGGCAGCTAGGAAAAAGGAGAATGGATTCCTATGGTTTTAATGCACAACTCGGGAAGAGGGACGGTTCTGATGTTGACGCAAAGAGGGGAGTAGACCCTATGGCATTCCGTGGCAGTATAGGAAAACGGCAAATTGACTCACGTATGTTCGGAGCACGACTGGGGAAGAGAATGGATAAGTCCTTTGCTGCCCAAATAGCCAAGAGATCGGCCGAGCAAGTAGACTCAGACGTAAGTACAAGCAAACAGTGAACACACGGTTTTGCAACCACTCATAGTCTTGACAAAACATGTTCCCGACAACAATGATTTAGTGATACAGCACTATTGCAACTAATTCAAATTAGGAGATATTGTCTTTTCATCAAACGGTGCACATATACGTTTGGGTATTGGTAAGTGCTGATATTTCACACAAAAAACATTTTTAACATACACAATGAGAACCACATCTGGTTTCTTTTGCTTTCTGCAACCGTCATTTTGTCACATGTAAATTGATAAAATCTATTCCATCTATCATTTTCGATTGTTTGAATATTTGGATTCGGAGATAGACAATGTCGATAGGACAGTCAATTTGATAATCAAAGAGAGATTAAGTGGATTGCAAAATGTCATTTTTCCTAAGCCACTGGGGATATACACTGTGTCTGTTCCGCGTTTTTCGAACGTTCAATATGCAGTTTGCCAAAAGCCTCTTGGCACCCTATTATTACATTGTTTGGCTCATTTGCATTCCCTGTGAGGTAAAATTGTTATTAGAAAGACATCTACGTCATTATTTCTGGTTTATGATTTGAAATAGTTCATGCTGCCACTTAACGTACACATCAAAAGGCAGCCTCGAACCGCAAATGAATTGTCAAACTGGATATAAAATATGATTAAAAGACCCTTTGAAATGCGGTAATACATTGTATTCGTCTCGGCATTTATAAGAGGTTTTGTACGTCGGTTCCTCTGCAAAATATATTACGACATACAAGGTTAAGTTTTACGTAAGTGAATGTACATATAGGTAACTGGGTATTTACCTAGCTTCAGTACACACACAACGGATGAGTGAGCTTCTCATACTTTTCTTCATCGTAAAATATTTACAGACTCAGGCACGCATAATGATATATAACAATGCAGGTTTTTGGTGCCAATGAAATTATTTCGTTATCAAGGTGCTCAATTAGACTGCCAAAGCTGGGGAAAGGATATCATTTACGTCAAAATGGATAGCATAACACATCTTTAATATGTTTATATGAACCCCTCTGACACACATGCTGGAGTCTATTTTACCGCCATTACTAATGTATTTTTTTTCTTTTCAGAATTTCTCGTCCCAAGACGCATCCTAATAACATTCTTCCTGAAGTGGAAGAAATGAAACTGCCGACACAACGTAAGTGTCCTACAGACACAAATCCAACATAACTCGACTTTGTCCATTAACAAGGGAAGTGATTTTCATTGTTCTCTACCATCATACCATTGGACGACCCCACAGTCTACTCCTGATTTCAACCTAGTCGTATACCGTATTAACTTACGTTGAGTAATTTTGTATTTGTTGGGTGACCGTTGTGTTTTCAAGGTCGATTTATGACGTTGGCATCCTTGACCAATCTTTCGTCTTAATTACATGTTGAAGGATGTTTCGAGGAATAGCTAAAGTTGCTGACATGACACTTTCGGTAAATACAGCAAATAATCTCACTGAAAATCATTCTGTCATTATTTTTGCGTAAGAAATTATTTTAATGTTGAAGACACAGATAGGAAATGGTCACATGGTTCGTTTTCACGTACCAAGTATGATTTGTCATTATGTTTCTGTGTAATTTTCATTTAGACGTTCTTTTACAGATTTAAACGATTATGTCTGACTACTTTTCTTCCTTAAAATCCACAAAAAAAAATCATTTTCATGTTATGTTTTGTTCGTGACTTAACCGCTCCGGGTTTCAATTCAGCGAATGATTGCATTGTTTTTGGTTTGTCGCATGCTTTTTTAAGAAGATATGAAATAATTTAATTATTGCCTTAGAAATGTATATAATATGTAAATACTGATCTGAATAAAGTAATTTTGAATATAATATATTATCTACGACTTAAGAGTAACTTTCTCAAACAAAGTTTTTAGGTGAACATTATGACGTAACGATTAAACCGAAAGCATGCGCACAAAGGATGTGTGTTTGTGATCTTTATAAATGGCATTGGCGTTGATTAAACAAATTGACCGTATGCTAATCTGCCTAGAATGAAAGAAGTGGTGGTGGGTGAGTTTGGTTTTACGCCGCTTTTAGCAATATTCCAGCAATATCACGGCGGGGAACACCAGAAATGGGTTTACCAAGTGAATCCACATCAGTTAAGTAATATACATGTACACCAATAGACTCTTCAACATCAACAACAATCCAACACAAATGTATTTACGTATATATATGATATTTACTGACTAAACTTCAAAGCGAATATAATCTAACGACCATTATAAACGCAAGATGGATGCATGTACAGTATACGTGTTTAACCTGCATTATACGGCCTAATTGGACACATATCAAACAGATGTTACATTTCAATGGACGATGTCGTTAAAAATGTTAACATATGCTTATCTGCAATGAACATTCTCAGTATCACTGTACATGATTTCAACCACTGTGCCGATGAAAGAATGTACGCAATAGTGTATGTTTTCCTTCCGCAAAGTTTGTAGTGATCGTGTGCTCAATTTCATACTAATTTGCAATGCATGCATACATACCTACAAACATACCCGCACGTACGCACGTATACTTTTTGGGTAATGTTTTTAGTTATATATAAGTTGAATCCTTTGCACCCGCCGTGTGCCAATCAATGAAGAAGATCTTCCAAAAGTGTCCTCATCGGTATTTGTGTCTTCACCCATTAACGCTTACACTGTATTGAAGTAACAATCTTATCAATAAGGCATCAGTAACAGACTCACCGTCTACAGACGTTACTTCACATACTATTCGCCAACGCACAGGTACGCCAACTAACCCACCGCCATCAGTCTACACAGAAATGCAACTAAGGTCCAGTTCGCTCTCTTATCAAGCAAAATAATGTTTTGGTTTGGTTGCTGTTAAACGCAGCACACAGCAATATTCCAGCTATATGGCGGCGGTCTGTAAATAATTGAGTTTTTACCAGACAACCCAATAATCAACAGCATGAGCGTAGATCTACCCAATTGGCATACGATGACATGTGTCATCAAGACAGCAAGTCTTACCACCCAATCGCCCATTGTGGCAAACATTGGTTACTGAAGTAGCAATTCAGACCCGATCTTCACGGGTCAAATTAAGAAACAGTGTAGTGGGGTGATGGCCGGGATATATAATTTTCAATTTATAGAAACAAACGCCAGACTATTTGCTTAGTCAACATTTATCTTCCTGTATATACGGATTTGTGAGTGAGTGAGTTTGGTTTTACGCCGCACTCAGCAATATTCAGCTATATGGCGGCGGTCTGTAAATAACCGAGTCAGGACCAGACAATTATACGGATTTGTATCTTTTATGGAGGTTTAGTTGAATTCAACAGTGTCACAACCATCCATTTACTCTTAAATAGGAGTAGTAGAGTTCTCATACGGTAAATGCCATCGGGATCTATTTTCGCGAGCAGCGTCTACAGCAGGTGCTTGTTCGGCAAGTGCATTTTGACTATTCTGAAAGCGGTATATCCACGTATTTACAGACACACATCGTTAGTGACAATGTTTGTCCCTGGGGAAGTATAATCACCTGTCAACGACGTACATAGATCATCCATATCAATAATGCCATTACTTAGTCCTTTTACGATCGCTCATGCCTGCTCAATACGATGTCAAATTAAAAGCATAATGACATTCTTTTTCGCCGATCCAAATACTTTTCCGACATTAATGATTAAATGTGGAGACTGTACTTACTCCAAACTAAACCGCCATACAAGTAGAGGAACATATGATTGATGTGGGTCATTCGTTGAACATGAAAGATTATTTAGGTATACGTGTGTACGAAGGTTCACTGACATTAATAAGAAAAGATTGACTTTGTGACAAAGCCCACACATATGCATACTGACGCGGTCTTCTGTTTTAATGAAGAGAATGTTCCGATATAAGTACAAGACGTCAATCTGGGATCAGTAAAGCCCTACAGTACATGACAGCTCGTAATACACCGACAAGCTGTTCGGCTCGTTAGACAAAGAATTAGGTGTTTTGTATGGTTGCAGTGATTCCAGATGTCTGCTACAACACCAACAATACACTGTCTACGATTATCGCAATCATGTTATATGAAATGTGTATACACTACAAACTTGTTGAAAACTATTTGCCTCACCTTTTACATTAACGAAGTTTCTTCCGTGGAACATCATTGCTGTAAAAGAGAAATGTTTTGGTCCTCTGTCTCTTAAATTCAAGAAACTGGGGGGAACATCTGCAATCAGGAAAGTGAGTGAGTGAGTTGAGTTTATGCCGCCTTTAGCAATATTCCAGCAATATCACGGCGGGGGACACCAGAAATGGGTTTCACACATTGTGTCGGAAATCGAATCGAACCCGGGTCTTCGGCGTGACGAGCGAACGCATTACCCACTAGGCTACTCCACCACCCCCAATGAAGAAGGAGAAGGAAACTACAGACACAGCGTCATATGCAGGATCAGGAACCAGAGTTGCAGTTTTGGAAAATGAAAAAGCAAACGATTTTATCAGAAGGATGAGGGACGGTAGCCTGGTGGTTAAAGCGTTCGCTCGTCACGCCGAAGACCTGGGTTCGATTCACCACATGGGTACAATGTGTGAAGCCCATTTCTGGTGTCCCCTGCGGGCATTGGTGTAATAATAATAAAACTAAACTCACTCACTATTAGAAGGATGGAACGTTGTACTACACTTCATTCTGTATTTCCTTTGCATACAAGTTAAAAAAGATACAATGTCTGGGGCCCATTCCCACCCAACACGCCTACATTAATCAGTTAGTTTCACGACCACTGATATCTGCTAAAGGCGATGTAAAATGAAAACTTAATAACATACTTGTATAGTATTTCCCCATTCCTTTTTAAGACAGTAATAACATGAAAGAGCAGAGCATGGCTATTCTAGTCTAAACTATCAGGTCAGCTCGTATAATTATATGATTCTAAAATGAGGAACTACGCCACAATGACTCTATCACTTTGCCAGCGAAGACATTGTAATGTGTGCCAGGTGTTGCCAAATGTGACACTGACATAGTCGCCGTATAATAGATTATTAATTATAGATTGAAATTGGTCATCATATGCGCATGCGCACACACATTCACACATTTACGATGCCGCTTGAACTGCCAGTTGTTCGGACGCCTGGCTTCCTTTGGCGAATACCTAGTGTCGCCTTGATTTGTAGTATGCCATATATCACCATTAGATTGCCTCTTGATATTTAGAGAGATAATCGGCATTGATTGTTATCTAAGAAAAACAAAAAAAGATAGAAATACATTGAACTGACAAGTATTTGTTCGTATGCTGAAGCAATTTGACGCTTTTGACATGACTGATGTCGGATCCAATTACTGATTTCTACTGGAATCAAATGTTGCGCGTCCTTTTGACTTGTGTTTGTGTCAGGTGTCATCAGTTGGACAAGATAGCGTTCCCAAGACGTTTCGTATCTTTACCCAGATACTGAATCACAAACACATGCTCATGATACAGCCGGAATCCAACAAGTCTCTCTGCTTTCATGCCCGGCCGTGTCGTACCAAAAGACTTTAAAATATGGTACTTGTTGGTCCCTGTCTGGCGCTCGGCATTTATGGCTACAACAAGGACTGGTCGGCTCGGAGTCAGTATAATGTGTCTGGGTGGGGTATTCATGCTTAACTGCGGCATGGTATCTCAGTGAGCTAGCAATATAAAACCAGCTTAGGTCTGGGGTAGTACAAGCAGCCACACATACACACGCATGCACGTCGAAATAAGGACGACGTTAAACCCCATTTCACCTCACCTCACCTCACCTCACCTCACCTCACCTCACCTCACCTCACCTCACCTCACCTCACCTCACCTCACCTCACCTAACCTCTTTGCTTTCAGTAAAAATGATTCATTACCAATCTTGTGATATGTGCATGCGGTAAGAAGCCATTTTTGAGGCAGTTTCCTTATGACCACGGAACTGTGCATGGTGGGTGGTGATCGTGCTAAAACGACATCCAATGATCGAGGGAAAACAAAGCGCCTTTGAGCAGTTGTACTGGATATCGGCGCTATACAAATGTATGTATGTATGTATGTATGTATGTATGTATGTATGTATGTATGTATGTATGTATGTATGTATGTATGTATGTATGTATGTATGTATGTATGTATGTATGTATGTATGTATGTATGTATGTATGTATGTATGTATGTATGTATGTATGTGGCGCTATACAAATGTTTGTATGTATGTATGTATGTATGTATGTATGTATGTATGTATGTATGTATGTATGTATGTATGTATGTATGTATGTATGTATGTATGTATGTATGTATGTATGTAAAACGTATAACCGTTGAAATAGTTTGCATGAAGGAAAACCTGATAACATTGGGATTGAATTATGAATAATAGCCGTAATTTGTAAACCTGACCATGAAAACGAACATGCAAAAATATAAATAAATACGATTTTAAATCAAAGAATTTGTCAGTGCTTTAAAGTAATGTTTTAATATTAATGATAGTAAAAGTAAAGACGATTATTGACAATATTCAATAATGATACAGAATGCCTGTCGGAAATAATCAACATGGTATTATTATTACGTATCACTTATGTGAAAGCAAGAATATTATGGATCAGTTCAGCAAAAGCTGTTATGATTGATCTGCCCAGCGATTGACCTTTCCTTTATCATCCAGCTACATCGTCACGATATGGCTGAGATATTGCCAATGTGACGTTAAATATTAACTCACTCACCAGCTACAACATCATCCATTTAACGTCTAACTAGAGTCTCTACCTTGAACCAGATGATATTTGAACTGCACATCTGATGTAGAGATGAGAACGTTGTGTAAGGAGAGGAAGCCCAAGGCAACAGCATGTCATATATCCTATATAGTGTTAGCTATTAACATTAAGCGTGTGTG